CATTGCTTCAGTGATGCTATCTAACCATATCATCCTCTGCCGTCCTCTTCTCCTTTTGCCTTCAATCTTTCCCAGCATCAGGGTCTTCTCCAAAGAGATCTCTCTTCGCATTAGGTGACCAAAATATCTGAGCTTGAGCTTCATTATCGAGCCTTAATGCTAAACTGCATTTAAAGTATAATACTATAACTGTGAAAGTGAAGACTTGCCACTTTGAGTTACAGCAGAAGGAGAGAATCAATTCTTCTCCAGCAACAGGACTTTTAATATGTTGTCTTTCCTTACTCAAAATTAAAATAGTACTTCCAGCATTTTGAAATTTAATATAAAGTGTGCATATGTCTGCATTTAATATAGTGTACTTTAATAGAAAAGGTGTGCTTAAGACTGAGTCTTAAAGTGACAATAACTACTACTAATAAATTAAATTTATATGCTGCCTAACTCCCAGTGACTCTGGGTGGTTATTATTGAACATTTATTACTGTCTAAAATTAAACAGAAGACAAAAGGAAAGGGAGATGGAAAAAACAGGGAGAGAAAATTTATTTCAGTCACCTTGCTTAACCAAGCCTCAGTCTGCGTATCAGAAGTTATGGGCAAAGCATAACGCTTGTGAAAAAGCTGAATTTTGGATAGGTGATGTTAGGCAAACATTTTGGGCAGCAGTTCTAAGGAGAAAGCTGTATAACAAAGGGAAAAGGGCAGGTTCTTTAAAACCGCAGGATGTAAAAGAAGAGAAAATGGAAGAAGAGCTTAGAGAAAATAGCTACAAAGAGTTTTGGAGTCAGCTCTGTGACCAGAGCAATGGAAAAGCTGAATATGTGGTTCGTAGAAGCGTAAACTGTTATGTTTATTTTTTAGAATGATTAGTATTCAACTGCAAAACTAAGTGAATTCTTAATACAGATACCATTGCTCTGTGTGGCATTGTTCCCTCCCCCCCCAGCCGAATAAAATAAATGTCTGAATCTGACATGGGATACAGCAATTTACTAATTTGTATTTCTTTGTTAACTTTTAAGATCCTCAAAAAGCTGTACATGAATCTTTAGACAGCACACTGATAATTAAACTGTCTTCTCTTCAAATATACTATTTTTATCAGATTTATGTGTAGCTTAGTGAATAGCAAATGCATATGCATTCTGGATAATTGACATATGTTCTAAGTATTCATAGTCTTTGCAACTTTGGATTAGTGCTAAATGTAGATGCACAAAATAATATGTATTATGCTCACATTTTTGCACTAATTCCCTATGTATCCTAAAATGGTTATTTGGCATCCTTTATTTTAGAGGGTTACCTTGTATTATCTGAAACATAGCATATGTTTTGACTTTTACACTTTAAAGACTGTTCCTACGTAAAGTTGTTAGTAAAGAAACTCAGTTGAAATTAGTGTGACATGCGTTGCCTAAGCATGCATGAGACTGGAATATAAAGTTCCAAGTATCCATTATCCCTGCTGTGAAGTGTATAGACACATATGCATATATGTAATTGATACATTTTTTTAATTTAACATGAAGCTAAACTCAGTTGAATCCTTTGAAGTATGTAGGATATGTTAGTAGGTTTCAAAGACTTTAATTGCCGTGCAACATCTGATCAAACAAGCCAAAAGCATTTTAATATACAAAGCATATTTTAGACAGGTTTGATACCTGTTGAATGTGGTATCATTTTTGTTCCCTGTCTCATCGGAATGATTATTACACGATTGCGCCAGTATGGAATGTTTCGTCATTGTGATCAAACTGTTATCTGGCATTCCTAGGGTGTTCTTTTTTGCAGTACAATGTCTTTTATTCCTTGTCCTCATGCATGAATTATGCTGTGTATGTGAAGAGGCTTAAAATTTGTTTCCATTACATTCTTTCTGAATGGGACCTGTTGTATCAGGGATTTAAAAAAAAAAAGAAGAAGAAGGCCAAACTGGAATGTTGTTGTTGACCTTGACACCAGACAACTAGGCAGACATTATATAGCTATGTTTGAATCCTCACAAAATGTGATGTTAAAGCCAACAGAGTCCTGGCGTGAGACCCTCCTGGACAGCAGAGTTATGGAGCTTTTCTTTACAGTGAGTTCCATTGTTCTCTTTTGCTAGTTTAGTAGCAACAAAGCTACTACTCCCATTATTTCTTTCTAAGATTGTTGTTGGTTTTTCCCTCTCTTGGATGTGATAGGAAGACTTCAGGTAAGAATTACATAAGTCATACTCTGTGCTTCACCAGCCTGGCAAGTTAAATCGTTTAAATCATTCTATGTTTGTATTAATTTCCTCTGCATTGTGTTCATTTAATTGTGGTTGTGATTTAAACAGAACAGGTGGTTGTGGGAGATTTTTCAGCTACTCAGACCTTCTTCAATATTGCTGGTCAAATAAAATTTCTCTAGTTGATTGTAAAAGCAGTTTAATCTGTGTCTGCTCTCCTCTTAGGCACTATGCAAATAGAGTAAAACAAAACTAAAGGGAGCTTAAAGCTGCTTCCCATTTGGCAACTTCCTACATGGATAATGTTTCCATTTAGGAAACCTATGTTTACTCTGGCATGTACCACAAGGGTGCCTGTATAATGCATATGGCTTTTCTACAGTTCTTAGTTCTGTGTAAGAATTTGTGGCATTTCATGTGAACCAGCCTGTAGTGCTTGAGTTAAGAGCTCTTCATGACATGTTCAGTCCAGTCATCTGCAAGAGTCATCTGCAAGTTCAATATGCAGAAGTAGGAAATTCAGATTTATCTAACTACGATCAATATCCAACAAAGTAAAAAAAGAAAAATTCAGAAGCAACAACCAAACATAGCAGAGAGAATATAACGATCATATCAAACCTAAAAATTAAGCCAGAGTAAGGGAGAAATGGAATAAAGTATAGTGAAACAGTATAAAACGTAAGATAATGGTAATAGGCATTTAAAAGCTCAAAATCTTGTGAATCTTAAAAAGGGGTTAATTTGGTGAAATAGAACCAAAATATAATAATAATTCAGTAATAATAAAATAAAAATTATAAAATAATTAAAATAAAACTAACAAAGAAGATCCATGTAATATTAATCTAGAATTAGCTCAGTCTTTTAACATATTATTAAATCTAGACAATATAAAACAGATTGCTCCATCTTCTCATTTTTGCGGTATAAAGACATTTCAAAAATTGTTAGGGAACACATCTCTCGAATCCACTTTTTTGACATGATAAGTGTAAATTTCTTTCCACAAATGTAGGATAATTCTCTATGAATTAATGGAGAAATAGACCACGTTTTTAGTGTTAGATAACTATCTTAGGAAATCTCACTATCTTTGGAAGATAAATCCCAACTGTTCTTTTTTTTCATAAAATAGAGTAGTATAGCTAGAATTTGGGATTATTGCTTGTGAAATAGTGGATGCATTTAAAACTTTTCTGAAAATAATAGTCTTTTACATAGTGTGCTAATTTTTTCAAAACCTTTAATTATTATGCGTACATAGTTACTTGCAAGTTTTTAATCTTGCTCAGGCATTTTCAAAAAAGTGAAAAACTTGCTGGCAGACCACTTAACAGCTGCACACAATATGAACAGCTGTCTAGACAACCCAGACAGTTGCTACTGTCAGCTGGGAACCTCCTCAAGCAAATAGCTTTTAGGTTTACAGGTTAACCCTTTCTAATGTAATTCTTCATTAGCAAGTCTTTAGGTTAAATTCCTTTGCTTGCTTGTAAAGGAACTACTTTTTAGATTAAGTATACTTTTCACCAGGTTCACAACGTTTCCCTTTAACTATCAAATCCATATTAATGAATTAAGAGTTAATTATTTTATCTGTCTGTTACTCACTGAATCTCCAGAATAGCTAACTCCTAGTTGTGGTTATAAATCCCCCATTTAGAGTGGACTTGCCGCATTTGTAACTCAGTTAAATAATGTATTTCTTGATTAGTCAACAAAATCAGTAGTGAATCCAATTTTTAATACATGTGCCTTTCATTATTGTATAGAGAATGTATTCTAGTTTATAGGTATTAACTTTTAGTTTTTTATGAGACTTAACTTCAAATTTTCTTTAAAAATAAAGTAAAAATTTATAAAGTCTCCATTTTAACAGCTGTTCTCATTGTATTTTGTTGTAGGTTTCCAATATTTTATTAAACATGTTTTGTGAGTAGTTCAGAAAACATGTTAAGCACAAGTATGTAATAATAGCAATAAATAATTTAGTGTGCCTTTAAACTGATCAAGAGATTAGTATTTGTTAGGTTATAATGACCATTTGAAATAATAAATTTGTTTAATGAAGGCGAAAACATAGTGTTGTCCTATATAACTTTATAGTAATAAATCCTAAAAGCATATCTGGATATTGAATTCGGGAGCTGTATTGTGCATCCAAGGTTGTCTTTTAAAGTTAGGTCCCTTGATGCCCATACTTGCCATAAATACTCAGTCTACAAATGATTGATCTATAAGAATGATTTATTGTCCATGAGGATCACTTAAGGAGGCTAGTGCAGAAAAGGAGAGCAATCAGAAACAATAGGATCAAGACTAAAGAGGTTTGTAAAGTTGTAAGAGGATTTTGCTTCAAGGGAAATGCATTTGGTTTCTTGAGAGTTTGGTGTTTACCTCTACTAAAGAAGCATCAATATAATCTTGATTGAACTTGTCGACTAACTTTAGCAAGACGCTGTAGCCCAGGCATAGTTAGCATAATAGAGATGGCTGTCATTATTGCTGTTTTTAGAAGGAGCAGCATGTCTGACTGGCTGGCAACTGTTTCCCTCTAAGACTTAAAATGCATAGACAGTTTAACATGTAGGTAGGTTCCTGGCTTTGACTAATTTAATGTGACTTACTGGCTTGGTGTACTGAAGTGGCAGTTTGCATACATGCCAAGGAATGACTACAAATATATGAGATACGAGGGAAAGCTGTGTATGTGGGGGATGTGCATGTGCGCTTGCTCACGCTTTTTAGGAGTGTGTCATGTGATTATGGTAAAAGAACATCTTATTTCTTCCCCCCACCTCCTGATGTGGTGTTAACCCTCTCACTTCTGAAAAGGTGCATCGAAAAATTAGAGAAGACACCGATATGGCACAAGACTCTCTGCAGTGTTTAGCCCAGCTAGCCTCTCTTCATGGGCCAGTCTTTCCAGACGAAAGCTCTCAAGTTGATTATTTGGCTCACTTCATTGAGGGATTGCTCAATACTATCAATGGGTAGGTAATGTGCTTACTTCCTAGAATTTGGGTTTGCTGTGGGAGGGAGGTGGGACTTGTGTTCTGTTTGTAGTTTGAAGAGCGGCATAGCACCACTTAAAGAGATCTTTCTGAGCAATACTGAAATGGTTTTGAACTTAACAATAAAATTATTGAGCTTTTCTCTTTTTTAAAAAATGTTTTACCTACAGGATTGAGATAGAGGATTCTGAAGCTGTGGGTATATCCAGTATAATCAGCAACTTGATCACTGTATTTCCTCGCAATATATTAACAGCCATTCCAAATGAACTTTTTTCGTCATTTGTTAACTGCCTCACACATCTCACTTGCTCTTTTGGGAGAAGTGCTGCCTTGGAAGAAGTTGTAAGTACCAACTTTAATTTTGTGAGGTTCTTTCAAAATGTTGAGTTGAAAGTTTAAAATACTTTTAGTTTTATGTAATGTCTAGCTTATAATACTACTTTTTCCCTGAGTACTTAGTAAATTTGTAATGGTTACAATGAGCTGCATCTGTGGTCCTTTTGTGTTTTATGAAGAAATTTAGTTGGTTTAATGGTTCCTAATGAAACCCAAAATCATCCTAGGTTAGAGTGGTGTACTAGATGTAGAGTTGCAGTTCTGCAGTGAACTGCATACTTAAATTATGTTTTGATATTTTCCTCAGTATACTAGATTTTTGTTTGACATTAGCATGAAAAAACGGAAGTTTTGAGATGGGATTATGCTGCTCCAACATTTTAGTTCCTGTTATAATAAGCCTTTATGTGGGGATTATGTGGACATTATTGGATGCAGCAGGTTGAACTGGATAATTTACCGCATGTGGACATTTTGTTACCTTTATTACTATGTTCTTTATAAGGCAAAGCAATTAACTGAAAATAAATCAGTAAATCTGTATACCCTAGAGTTCACTCATGTTATCGGGATTTTTCTGTATAGTAGTTTGATGTATTTATTTGGAAACAGAAAACCGGGTAAGAGTGAGGCATGAAAACTGGTAACTAATATGGACTTTTTTTTTCTTTTTTTTTTTTACCTGAGCCTTCTAGTGCTAGAGAATCTGTGTTTGGTCTCCAGTTTAATGGGACTTTTTTTCATCTCATTGTTCTTTTCTGTAAAGCATACTCCATATTTCTCTCCCCTTGCATTTTTCTTTACAATGTCCCATACATTTTAACTTTTAACTCTAATTCTTCTCCACTATCTTCATGGCACAAACTCTCATGCCATTGTCCCAAATAAGCTTCTGCTCGTGAAACCTTCAAAAGCCTGAATAAGAGATAGACACACCATCTGTGTAATCTCTAGTTTTGGGCTTCCAGAATTGTTTTCAGCCTTTGCTAAGATTTAGTAGTAAGAGGTGGATTTCAAACTATTCCACTTTTCAAGTTGAGCAGAACAGATCAAGGACAATTACTGGATGGAGCTGAGAGGATTTGACAGAGCCAACCAACTTCCCTAATCTGTGTTGGGCTTCAAGTACTCTTGTTCACTTTGGAAATTATAGCAGTGGGATTTTTTTAATGTATTGGAATACAGTTTTTTTTTAACACTTGTGAATCTTGTCCTGAGATTGGTAGCTTAAATGAAATGTAAACATCAGAAATTCACCATGATTACCATAACATAGAATGCATTGTCTCCAGAAATTCAGAAAGCCATCTTATCACAGTCCTGAAAGCAATTAATAAAATTAATTATTTGCTTTTGTTTAATTTTAGATATTAAATCATTGTGGCCTTTAGTTTCCTGGTTTTGGCACAGATGGCTATATCTCAAACACCAGATGGGTATTATATTTCCTGCAGAGGAGTCTGCACTGACAGTTCTTAATACCTTGTAGGTTTATACTGACACAGTATGTCCTTGCGTCCAAAGAGTCTTTAAATGTGTGTTCCACTTAGGTATCTACAGAAGTGATATAGTAGACTTAATGTACTTTTTCAATTGCAAGGTGCTGATCTGAAAAAAATGCTGGTTAGATTTATTCAGCATAGCTTGTCAATGCATAAATTTCCATGGGTTGGCCAAGTATTGATGAAGACAAGCTTATGGGAAGTTTGTGCATTGGTATCTTGGAAGGATATGTGATGCTTCAGATCCAATTCTAAATAGATACTTTGGAGCATATAGCCAGCTGAGACCAGGAAAAGCAGCTGCTTTAAAGAGTTGTAGATAAATGCAATGTATGTGCCTATACATATTCAAAGCAGCTTTGTCAAATTAGAACTGAACCTTTGTATAGTCTAGAATCAAGTAATTCAGCTTTCCACCTTATTTAAGAATATTTCACTTGGTTATATCTTGTTGAATTACTAGAGGAATATTTTTATTAGTCCTGATAACATATCAGGTTAAAAAAAAAAGTTAACAGAACATTTGTTCCTGCCTTACAAAGTTGATTTTTGCTTTGTGTATTTAAGTACATACACAATAGATTCTGAATGGAGTGATAGATTCTGAATGGAGCAAAGAAAGGGGTGAATTTTGTTATTGTGCTTCAATTTTTCTCAGCACTTTTGACAGATTTCCATGAAGCTGTTAGCATGGGGCAAATATCCCCAGCTCTCTTGCTAGCATATAGCAGCAGACAATTATCTTCCCACATTCTTCTCAAATAGCGAAGGATTTTTGCATTGCACTGAGCTTTGTAGTAATCAGAAGCATGAGCCTGCTCCAAAGCTCCGTATAACAGGAGATTTACCCCAGTCCATTCCACTCATAGAATCATTAGAAAAGTTTTGTCAGGCTGAGTGAGAGAACAAGCAGTGGGATGTGTGAACTGAGCCGTGCCGATTGTGACAGCTCTGAAACTTTGGAGTAATGATGTAAGATATTCCTGAAGTCCTCTTCGGGAAGGGCCTGTTGATGGCCTTTAACAATTGAAAATACATATTTACTCAGAAATAAGCCCCATTACACTAAGGATTGCAATCTGAAATTATTACTTATCCAGCAGCAAAGAATCTGAAATTATTACTTTCCCCTCCTGAAAGATTGCTTTGTGCTGATGAAAGGCATATATGTAAATAAGTTTTTTGCTTTTTTTATAGTAATTTTATTAAAGATTATAATTACAACGGTAAAAACTAATACAAACTGAAAAAAGTAAAAGAATGAAAAGAAAAAGTAGAAGGTGCAGAAAAGAAAGAAAAAAGAAAGAGAATAGAATGTGCAAGAAGAAGAAAAAGGAGAAAGAGGGGAAAAAATAAGAAAAA